GGTATCAGTCATTTTTAAAAAGTATGCACCAGCTGATTCTAGTGTACGGCCAGGGTTGAGAACTATAGTAATTAACTTGGCTAAACCAGTTGGTGGATTAGAAGAAATTGCCTTTTCTTTGAGAGACACACTTTTGCCTTTTATCTGAACCCACAGTAACTTCCTGACAACTGAAGGAAATGTAAAGATACATCCATTTGCTCTTAGATGTGTTCTTGATCAGGTTATTATTAGAGGAGTGAAGGAAGGAAACAACAAATTTGTAGAAAAGCATTATAGGTATGCAGCCTACAATGAAGCCAACAAGCCATTTATTTATTTCTCTTTGCTGTATACACTTCTCAGCCAAGTTTTTAAAAATTCTTTATGGAAAACATTGTCTGCTGGATTTCTAAGAAGTGAGGAAATATGTTTGTTCTGTTAGAGTGATCTACTTAGAACTTCTTAAACATAGGGAAAATGTTTTTGGAAGAAGTGAATAAATTAAACTATGTTAAACGTCATGAAACAAAATGTTGAACAGTTTAATGACCCTAAAGAAAGGTTTTTTTAAAATGATTTTTAGTATGTTCACAGAGTTGTGCAACCATTACCACAACCAAGATAAGGACACTTTAATCACCCCCAAAAGAAACTCTTTACCCCTTAGCAGCCATTCCTCATTTTCCTCTCCTCCAGCCCTCAGCAACCACAAATTTACTTTCTGTGTCTATGGATTTACCTATTCCATATAAATGGAATCATGTGTTTTATAGCCCTCTGTATCTTCAAGGTTCACCCATGTTTTAGTAGGTATCATGACTTGATTTTTTAATAGCCGGATGATATTCCATTGTTTGGATATACATCATTTAAAAAATTTTTTTTTGTTTATTGATTTGAGAGAGAGAGAGAGAGAGAGACATCAATTTTGTTGCTGCACCCATCCATGCATTCACTGGTTGCTTCTTTTATGTGCCCTGACCAGAGATTGAACCCGTAACCTTGGTATATCAGGACGATGCTCTAACCAGCTGAGCTACCCATCCAGGGCATGGATATGCCACATTTTGTTTACCCATTCATCAATTGATGGACACTTGAGTTATTTCTACTTTTTGGCTATTATGAATAATACTACTATGAACTTTGTGAACAAGCCAACATATGTTTCTAGTTCTTCTGGATACAAATCTAATACCTAATACCTATCCTAGACTTAATATTTCTAAAAACAAATCTTATGTTTCCCTGACAAACCTGTTCTGGGAAGCAGGAGCACTTTTTTCCACTTACTTAATGGAAAAATATTTTCATATGCTTATTGCCACCTGTATATCCTCTGTGATGAGGTGCCTGTTCAGATCGTTTGTCCATTTTTTCCTGTTATTTCCAAAGGTTTTTAAAAACTGTGGTAAAAAAAACCCATAGCAGTATTTACCATCTTAATTATTTTTAAATGTACAATAGTAATGTTGTTATCTATATTGTTTGGCAACAGATCCCTAGAATGTTTTAGTGTATCTTTTTAGATTACCTAGATTTTCTCGTAAGATATCTCCTAGAAACTTTATACATTTGCATTTTGCGTTTAGATCTAAGATTCATTTTTACTTAATTTTTGCGAAAAGTGTAGTTTTCCAAACCAGAGAGCACTAGTCCCATCTGAGTTCACTGGTGAATTCTATGAAACATGTAAGAAAGAAATTTCCTATAATCTTTTTCAGACAATAAAAGTGAAAGCAATACTTCCCAACTCATTCTATGAGGCCAGCATTACCCTAATACCAAAACCAGACAGACATTACAAGAAAAGAAGACTAAAGACCATGATCTCTCATAAACATAGATGTAAAAATCCTCAACAAAATATTAGCAAATCAAATCCAAAAAAGTATAAAAGAATTATATATCTCAACCAAGTGAGATTTATTTCAGATATGCAAGACTTGTTCAACATTTGAAAATCAATTAATGTAATTCATCATATGAACAAACTAAAGAAATTCAGACAATAATATCGAGATTTAGAAAAGCATTTGACAAAATCCAACACCCATTCATGATAAAAATCCTCAGTAAACCAGCAATAGAGGGGAACTTTCTCACCTTGATAAAAGCTATTAACAACAAAAAAATCTACGTCTAACAATCATACTTAGTGGTAACAAACATGAAGTTTTCCCACTCAGATCAGGTACAAGGCAAGGGTGTCCCCTCTTGCCACTCCTTTTCAACGTTATATTTATACCAAAAGTCCTTGCTACTACAATAAAGCAAGGAAAGGAAATAAAAGGTGTGCAGATTGAGGAGGAGGACACAAAACTCGCTTTGTTTACAGATGATGTGTTTATCTATGCAAAAAAATTCCAAAAGAATTGACCAAAACTCCTGGAACTAAAAAATAATTATAGCAGCTTCGTAAGATACAAGGTTAATATATAAAAATCAATTGTTTTCCTATATACTAACCATGCACAAATGGAATTTGAAATTAAAAACATGCCCTGGCTGGTGTGGCTCAAGGGGTTGAGTGCCAGCCTGCAAACTGAAAGCTTGCAGGTTCAATTCTAGGTCAGAGCACATGCCTAGATTGCAGGCCAGGCCCCCAGTTAGGGGTGTGCAAGAGACAACCTGTTGATGTTTCTCTTACACATCAATATTTCTCTTTCTCCCTCCCTTTGCCTCTCTCTAAAAAGTAAATAAATAAATAAAATCATACGGGGGGTAGGGGTGGAGCGCAATGCCAGTTACATTAGCACTCCCCCAAAATGAAATACTTAGGTATAAATCTAACAAAATACATTCAAGATATGTATGAGGGAAAGTATAAAACTCTGATGAATAAAATCAAACAAGAACTAAATAAATGGAAAGATGTCCTACTTCCATATTCATGGATAGGAAGCCATAATATTGTCACGATGTCAATTCTTCCCAAATTGATCTATAGATTCAATGTAATTTCAATAAAAATTCTAGCAAGTTATTTTATGGATATTGACAAACTGATTCTAAAAGTTTTTATGGAGAGGCAGAAGACCAGAAGAGCCAACACAATATTGAAAAAGAACAAAATTGGACTGATATTACCCAACTTTAAGGCTTGCTATAACACTACACTAATCAAGACAAACGTGTTTTTGGTGAAAGAATAGATTGGGCTCTCTGAGCCCAGAGTTAGACCCCTATAAATACAGTCAACTGATCTTTGACAAAGGAGCAAAGGCAATACAATGGAGCAAAGATGGTGTCTTCAACAAACGGTTCTGGAACAACTAGACATCCACATGCAAAAAAAAAAAAATAGAATCTAGACACAGACCTCACACCCTTTACAAAATTAACTCAAAATGCAAAACTAAACCTCCCAGAAAATGACATGGGAAAAAAACCTGTATGACCTTGGGTGTGTTGATGACCTTTTAAGATACGGAAACCAAAGCTATCCATGAAAGAAATAATTGATAAGCTGGACTCCATTAAAATTAAAATTTTCTGCCCTGGCTGGGTAGCTCAGTTAGTTAGAGTGTTGTCCCAATACACCAGGGTCGCAGGTTCAATCCCTGATGAGGGCATGTACAAGAATCAACCAATGAATGCATAAACAGGTGGAGTAACCTAATAGGTAGAAAATCAATGGTACTCTCTCTCCCCCTAAAAAATAAAATTAAAAATTTCTGCTCTGCAAAATATAATTATAAAAGAATTAGAAAATGAGCCGTAGACTAGGAGAAATATTTGCAAAAGACACATCTGATGAAGGACTATTCAAAATATACACAGAACTCTTAGAGTTCAACAATTAAAAAAAAAACAAACCTCAATTAAAAAATGGGCCAAGGACCTTAACAGACACCTCACCAAAGAAGATATAGCGATGTCAAATGAGAATATGAAAATATGCTCCACATCTGTGTCATCAGGAAAATGCAAATTAAAACAGCATGAGATACCACTATAGACTTAAAATACCAGCATCTAGGACACTGACAATACCAAATGCTGGGGAGGATGTGAAGCAACAAGAGCTCATACATTGCGGTGGGAATGCAAAAATGCTGCAACTACTTTGAAAGACAGTTGGACGGTTTCCTGCAAACATACTCTTGGGATATAATCCAACTATTCCACTCCTTGGTGTTTACCCAAAGAAGTTGAAAACATGTTTATACAGAAAGTTGCACAAAAATGTTTATAGCAGCTCTATGCATATTTGCCAAAACTTGGAAGTAACCACGATGTATTCATTAGGTGAATGGATAAATAAACTGCTGTTCCAACAATGAAATAATATTCAGAGCAAAAAGAAATGAACTATCAAGCCATGAAAAAAAAAAACACTTAAATGCATATTACTAAGTGAATGAAGCCTATCTGACAAAGCTTTAAACTGTATGATTACAACAATATTACATCTTGGAAACAGCAAAACTGTGGAGACAATAAAAAGATCAATGGTTGCTGGGAAAGAGGGAAGATGAATAGGCAGAGTGGAGAGAGAATTTTGGGTGCAGTGAAAATACTCTATGATACTATAATGATGGATACATCTGTCCAAACCTATAGAATGTACAACAAGATTAAACCCTAAAATAAACTATGGACTTTGGGTGATTGTGATGTGTCAATGTAGGTTCATCCTTGGCAAAAAATGTACCAACCAATATGGTGAATGAGGTTGATAATGAGGGTGGCTATGCATATGTGGGGGCTTATCATTTCCTAACCAAAATTGAATATTTCATTGATATGCATAGTCTCTTGGGAGCATAAAAATGACAGTGGAAAATTGGGACCTTAAACCACCAGCACAGTGTTCTGCCTATTATACCAAGGGGCATTTTATGGTAAAATAGAATAGTATCTACCTAAAAGACTAATCTTATTTTGAAATGTACTTTTCCAAACACTGCTGATGGTTTTAATATTTTTTTGCATATCAGTCAGCATAAATTGCTGACATTTTCCTCTGACAGTACAGTAAATACTTTTAATCTTTGCTCTGTTTCTGGTCCCAGGTTGGTTCATTCTGGCTCTGGATGTCGATCCCCCTCACTTGGATCTGACCTTACGTTTGCTACCAGGACAGGCTCTCGGCAGGGCATTGAGATGCATCTCTTCCGGGTGGAGACACATCGGGATCTGTCGACCTGGACCAGGATACTTGTTCAGGGTTGCCATGCTGCTGCTGAGCTCATCAAAGAAGTCTCTCTAGGTATAGACCATGGCATTTCATTTCTCATAGTAATTAAATGGAACTGTTATACACAAAGTGAAATCCATTGTCATGTGTACCAGGCTTAAAAATGTTCTGAAATATGGCAGTGTAAAGTGATCGTGATGGGAAGAAGCCTGGTTTTTTTGTTTCAGTAGCAAAGTTTTTCTAAGCCTTGTACATGGCTCTGAACACATTCATAAAACCCTTTGTACAAGGTGGCAGTTTTACTGTTCATCATTTAAGTCTGTATGATAATGTAAGGGCTCATTTACCAAGTACGACATATATTGATCCTATAGTTAAGATTTGGAATCTAAGATACGGGTAGATACCCTTAAAATAAATGTATATGGCAAAGTTTATGGTGATAGAAAAATTAAAAATTTGGAATAGGAGTTTCTCTTCAAAAGTTTGAAAATGTGTGCCCAGTACCTCCATCTAAAGGAATTAATTGTTGATCTCTTTCCATTCTTGAAGCGCCCTCTTGTGGCTAGTCTATACGAAATGGGGTATGGTTTCATATATGTGTATTTGTGTGTGTTATGTTAATATTTCCAGATTGTTTTTCACTTTAATAAGAACAGAGTAGTTAAAATTAATATATATCACATTTTCTAATATAGTTTGAATTATTTTAAATATCTTGACTATAAGTTGATTTACTTAATTTTGCTCCTTTTATCTATGATTTTATTTTATAGACCTAGCTTTACAGAATTTATATAAAAAAAAATGTTTCAAGAGCAGAAGTCTTGTGATTTACCTTTCTTTCTCTTGCCTTTTGAATGTGAGGGAGCTCCATGGCTTTGGAACTACACAGGCAGCATTTCTATGGACCATCATCTAACATTGGCACAAGGACAGTTATTTAATGTTGTCAGACAGCACTGTCTTCATCTGTTTAGGACCTGCTTGATATTTGCCTCACAGCCACAGTGATGATTCCAACAATGACACCAATGACTAGTGAGAACCCACTGTGGATTTTGACCAAAGCCCCCGCACCCACACTCTCCCGCTTGTCTGTCTCCTGCCTGTTGTCTCCACAGAGTGGTGGGTCACCACATTAAGGGGGCTCTGGTTCTCACCTTGACCACAGAATGTACTTTCTGGGGTGGGCCAGTCCTCAATTTGAAGGTCTGCGATGCTCTGGGTTCCTGTGGGGAGCCGGAGAGATCGGCTGGCACACCCATCAGGCCCTTCACTGGCCCCCGGGGTCATCATGTCTTTGAGGATCCAGAGAGATATGCTTCCCAAACAAAGAGTTCAGCTGAAGTTTGAACATTTTTTAGTTTCCTGTTGTTTCTTGGTGTCGGGCAGCTAAACTTCACATTGCAGGAAATCAAAATCTATCTAGTTCCTGGCTCACAATTATTTAAATACAGATGGCTTGAGGAGAGGGAGAATAAGGACCAGCATGTTCTTGACATTGAATGTTTTTATTTTCTTTATCTTTTTAAAGATTTTATTTATTTATTTATTATTAATTGAGCCCTGGCTGGTGTGGCTCAGTAGATTGAGTGCTGGCCTGTGAACCAAAGGGTTGCCAGTTCAATTCCCCGTCAGGGCACATGCTTGGGTTGCAGGCCAGGTCCCCGTTTGGGGGCCTGCAAGAGGCAACCACACATTGATGTTTCTCTCCCTCCTTCCCTTACCCTCTCTCTAAAAATAAATAAATAGATAAAATCTTTTAAAGATTTTAAATGTCTGGGGTCATCATGTCTTCTTTGAGGATCCAGAGAGATATGCTTCCCAAACAAAGAGTCCAGCTGGATTTTTAACACTTTAAAAATCTTTTAAAGATTTTAATACTTTCATTTTCACAACTTAGGTATACTGATGTACTATACCTATTAATCACTTACTCTGTATTTAAAGCTGTGCCAGATATATTAAACTGGCTGAAGGTAAACTGCTTTGATGAAAGTCAGAGTTTCTGTAAAATGTGTGTGTTTATGTATATGTGCATATATATTCATGTGTGTTCACAGTCCGTTATGTCTTATGTGTATGCTGAGTGTGTACATACACGTATGTGTGTATACACACACACATACATAAGACAAGTGTGTCCTTCAGATACATGTTACCACCTTCTGTTAAATTGTTGGGAGATCCAGAAAAGATCATTTAAGACTATAGCCCTAGCTGGGTGGTTCAGTTGGTTGGAGCATTATTCCATACACCAAAAGGTTGTGGGTTCAGTCCCTAGTCAGGGCACGTACCTGGGTCATGGGTTTGATCCCTGGTCGGGGCACATGCAGGAGGCGACCAGTCGATGTTTCTCACATCGATGTTTCTCTCTCTCTCTCCGCCCCCCCCAACCCTTCCTGTCTCTCTAAAATCAATAAACATATCCTTAGGTGACCATTAAAAAAAAACTAAACAAAACTAATTGTGGCACATATTCAGATATTTGTGGTCTAAAAAAAGGTAATTAACAAAAACAAATCACTTAAGCTCCGTTTTCTTTTCTCATGTGTTTTGATTATAGTTTATCGATTTTGAAAAATCTCAGTGACTACCTACAAGATTTGACTAGTGGATATAATACATGATGTTCATAACATTCGTTTAGTTTTAAACATGTATTAGGTTACAGTTACAGTAGAATTAATGAGTGATCCTTTTGGTATGCAAGGACTTTCTTCCTTTTAGCAAATTGTGAACTTTAAGATGACTAAGCAGAGAATGCACTTAACTCCCTCAGGTCCATAAAACCACTTTCCATTTGTCATAGGAATTGAAAAATAAGAAAAAACATGTACATGTATAGTTGTCTGAACTTTAATAAGCATGCTTTTAAAGGCTTAATTTCATTATACCAATTACCCAAGCTATTCAAGTTTTTAAATCATGCAAGAACTTTATGAGGATATTTTATATTTCCATAACTTTGGTGATATGAAGACTAAGAAGTCATAGATATAGGTAGGAGTTGCCTTAATAAATATGTAGAAAATCTGCAAGAGGAGAAGGAATGTGGGCATTTAAAAGTATTTCTATTGGCATATATGAGGAAATAAAGAGTTTGCTCTAACCATGTTGTTCTCAGTTTTGTAGAAATTCTCTTGAATCCCTTTTTTTTCATCTCCTCAGCAAATATTGACTGAGTGTATTCACTAGGCTTTTACTGGCTATACTAAGATAAATAAGGTAGGCACAGCCTCTGCCTTTGATGTAGGAAGGACAGAAACAAAGAACAATAGGTACAAATCAGGGGGTTGTGATAAGTTATAAATGAGATACATGTTATCTAACCCCAACATAAAACCCTTTATGGCAAATTTTATTACCTGTATTTTCAAGATGAAGGAACCTGGGGTTAGTGTGGCTCGGACTTGAATTGGGGACTTTCTGACTTCAAAACTAGTGACCAAAGCCCCTGCGTTCACCCCTCTCAGTTACTCACCCTTATGGCCAAATTAAACTCCTGGAGGACGTAAGCATCATCAGTTTCTCTTAATTCATTAAATCAAATGTTTACTGAGTATTTTATTATTCACAAAGCTGTGTTTGGTAATGAGAGAAATAAACAAAATCTTACCTTATGTCTTTGACCGAATAGCTGTAAGAAATGAACGTAGTGTCACGTTCTTCTTTGTAACCCGTGTGTGATTATCCTGTTGGTGATGACGGCAGACTGCTCTCCCCATGTGCAGCAAGGAGCACGCTAGCCCAGTCTTTCTCTGAGAGAGTACTGAGCAGTCAGACCAGGTTGAACCTGTGAAGCCTACTCCCTTCTGGGTTGTTCTGATGCCCAGAGGAGCACTCACAGTCCTGCAGCTGCTGAAGGGTTTTGCTGGAAACATTGAAGCCCCCCAGAGCCCTTCTTCCAAGTAACTGGCTCCAGAACAGCAGAAACAGGATTTACAGGATAGCATTTTTTAATTGATTTTAGAAAAAGAGAGCAAGCGAGAAGCATTGATTTGTTCTGCTCATTTATACATTCAAATTGTTTGCTTCTTCTATGTGCCCTGACCAGGGATCAAATCCGTACAACATTCTAACCAGCTGAGCTACCCTGCCAGCGCAGGATAGGATTTCTGTAACATCGGGGTCTTTGTCCTTCATGATACGCTGGTAACCACCAGCAGTCTCTCATTTAGAAATACACAAAGTAGAAAATGTAAGTTGTATTTATTAGTATTCATCTTGTTCTAACATGAATAGATATACTATCATTTAATGAGCTTGTTTTTCCTCTTAGCTTTAAAATCTTTATTTTACCATTAATGGAGCTGGTTAGAAAGTTATCTTTAATGTATGTCATTACAACCAACAATATCCTCGTGGCTTGAAAAAGCCAATGTCCCTTCCATTTAGCAGATTGTGAAGCTGTATCCAGAGCAGAAGGAAAATTGGGGCGGGTAAGGACAGTAAGTGTCACCGAAGCCAAAGGAAGAGTATTTCAAGGAGAGGAATGGCCAGTAGCATTAAATGTACCAGAGGGGATGATTTAGCGTGCAATTAAGAGATAATGCTCTCTCAAACTAGATGAAACATTAAAGAACTGTATTCGGTTACATAAAAGAGAGAGAACCAGAGTAAAAGGAGGGTGGTGGTGTGTTTTCTTTTTCCAATCATAGTTCTTTTCAACCTGAGCCAGTTTGGTTCAGCTGCACACCCTGGACCAATGCCAATCACCAGCGGAAAGCCAGCCTGTCTGCCCCTGAAGTTGAGGTCACCCTTCCCTGAAACACATTAGGAGAAAGTAGAAACCTGAATAAAATTTGGGTTTGGCAGTAAAGGAAGAATGGAGAAATAGAAGCTGGGTAGACAGCCAACAATGAGTACTACAAGTATCAAATAAGATGAGGATTGAAGAAGCAGGTCGGATTTAGCAATGTGGAGATACGTGGGGAGGGACGCCTGGTGGTGTGATGGCAGACTGGAAAGGGCCGAGGACAGAAGGGGAGGTGAAACGTGGAGAAACTGGGTGTAGACAGCGCTTTCAAGAGGTGTTGCTCTGAAGAGGAGGAGAGAGGTAGACTGGTAGAGACTGGTAGAAAGAGGAAGGTGAGGAGGTGAGTAGAGGAATTTCTTTTAATAATGAGAGACTAGAACATTTTAAGAGTTAATAGAGGCATCTGGTTTAAAAGGAGATACTGAAAATGGCAAGAGGAGAAAGGAACAATCAGTCTAATACAGTTTCTGAGAAGGTGGGAGTGAACAGGATCCAAATTGCGGGGAGGCTTGACCTTCGCCTGGAGGGGGGATGGACCGGGGAGGGCAGAGGATGGGTGGAGCTGCCTGTCCACAGCTTAGCTGCCGAAATGGCACTGCCTTTTCCTCCGGAGTAACCTGTGCCCTGGGCCTCCCTGCCTGTCACTCCATTCCTAACTTCAAGTACAATTACAAGCTACTTTTATATTGTTTGAATTTTTAAAGTTATATCTTACTTGTATAACAGGAAAATTTTTTTCTTTTTTGCTTCAGAAGGCACCAGTTAGTCTCATACAACAAAACCATCACTGTAAAGAATTTTAGAATATAATATTACTGAACTGTAACGTATGTGAGTTATATATATCAATAGAGCTATTACCAAAAGCATAAATGAGTGTAATAATTGGAACCTTAGACATAAAGTCAGAATTGTCAAGTGCAGTTATTCATGATGCAGGAAAGGTCTCATCAGAGAACTTTGTTTAGAATGATGGCACTCAGATGAGTATATATGGTAAACTCAAGATCCTGGTTTTAGGTGGCTGGTCTGCACATAGGCCTGCTCCCCTCCCAACCGTCACCCCATCCCTGATCACCACCTGTCCTCAACCCCTACCCCATTTTGTGGGTGTGTATTCAAATAGGTGTCAGGGATGAGATGAATGTGAGGCAAGAGATAAGAATGTCTGTTTTGCATATTATTTGATAATAAAATTTCTCCCAAGCCCTGAAAACTTATTATTTTAATTTTTAGATGAGTTAAAAGGTTATGATTACCTAATTTTGCTGTACACACTCAACAAAGTGGCTATTGCTGTTATGCTTTTCATTATTATTTAAGACTCAACTGAAATAACAGCTCTATTAAGGTTTTTCCGATTCCCCAGGGTTAATCTACTCCCCTCTCCTCTATCCTCTCAGAGTTTTTTGTCCATCTTTCCGTTACAATACTTCATTCTACCGTATGCATATTTCCTTTTCTTTCTCTCTCTCTCTCTCTCTCTCTCGTCTGAACAGAAACCATCTTTTATTCACCTCCGTATCTCCCAGAACCTAGCACAATGTCTGGCATGTAATAAATGCTCAAATCAATCCAGTATAGATTGGTTGTGATTGCCCATCTTTCTGCCCTGCCACCCTGTGAGAGCAGAGAATCTAAAAATATATGAATAAATGAAATAATGAACAAACAGACCAGTGAAGAAAAACATAATTCACAATTCCACTGGACAGTTACTCTTCATGTGTATTTTCTAATTATTCTGGGCACAGGCTCATGAAGGTGCTTCTCTTATCTTCAGCTCAGCCCAACATCAACCCGCATTGTACCCTACAAAAGGGACACAAAGCACCCACTGCCAAGTGCTGAATGTTTAACTCCTTCCATCGATTAACCTACAAAACTGTAGTTTTTTCTCTTTTAAACTTCAACATCTGATATCCTATGATTGTCCCTAAATGTTGCTGTTGTATCTTTTTATATTTCTGATAACAACTTTGTAAAGCAAAATCAGTATATTAAATTTTTCACTGACTTACCTATAAATTGAGGTGGATAATGGATTTATATAGCCATCTGAAAGGATTTTAGTTGCATCAAGACATCAGGATGGTTATAATAAGTTGCCTGGACCAGCTCAGAGTTTTGCTAATTACTCCCAGATCCTGCCCTATCAAGATAGGGCCATTTGTCACAGGTGTCTACCCTACACATACACACATACCTGTACATGTGTACAATGCTTTCTCCCCACCTCCTCTTATTAAATCAGAGTCAGAGGCTTATTTATCGTTGGTTTATTACCCCTGAGCCCCCCTAAGGGTGAGGGGTGTCAGGTACTTAATCAACATCACCTCAGCTGTTTGATGGCCAGTTCATACTCATTCAAAATTGTCCAGTATTTGTTGTAAGTTTTAAACTAAAACTCAATTCTAAACCTAAACATACTCAGTATGACCTTTCCTTACTCATTTTCAAGGTTGAGATAATCATAAATAATATAGAGATTTGTCCAAAAAAACTCCAGCCATTAATACAACAAATACAGTTTATGCAACATTGATGTAACCTGGCAGCAAAGGAGAGTGAACTGGAACATGTATGTGTGAACAATGATGACCTCACTGTACTAGTCAGTGGGGGTGGTAGACACCCCCCCTGAGTGAGCATGTATATTGTGTGGCTATCGCATTCAAAATGACTGAACAAGTAAGGCAATGAATCTGCACCAAATTTTGCGTTAAGCTTGAACATTCCTCAGCGGAAATTATTGGGATGATTCAGAAGGCCTCAGCTAGGGGCAACTGGCAATTGGCAGCTTCATCACAACCAGATGCCTGCTCATGCATCACGTCTCATGCCAGGTTTTTTGGTGAAACATCAAATCACTCAGATGACTCAGCCCCCCTACAACCCAGATTTGGCATCTGGCAACTTCTGATTTTCCCAAAACTAAATAAAGGCACCTTTGAAAGGGAAGAGATTTCAGACCATTGATGAGATTCAGGAAAATATGATAGGGCAGCTGATGGCAATTGGGAGAACTGTGTGAGGTCCCAAAGTGCCAACTTTGAAAGGGACTGAGATGTACAGTGTTTCTTGTATCTTCAATAAATGTCTCTCTTCTTCATAGTGCACGGCTGGATTCTTTCCGGACATACCTCATATACATTTTTAAAGTAACACACAGACACTGGCATTTGCTTTCCTCTCTTTACCTCCTGAGGCGAAGCAGTCCTAAACAGAACATTTTAAGCAATTTTTTGACCTGGCAAGCTTGTTGAGGGGTTAATGGCTTGCCTTTGCCAGCTGTGATGGCAGATCTTGCCGTGCTGGTGACACACCCGCAGGCAGACATACTCGCCTGCCTGCCCTACGCCTTCACCAGCCAGTGCTGCAAGGGCCTGGGCAGATCCTTGTTCTCTGAGCTCTTCTTTTCTGACCTCTCTCTTCTCTTCAGACCTCAACACCCTTTGGGGATGTTAACCACGTAAAATTCTCTTGAAAACTGTACCCTGGTTGCCTTGATTGGGATATGTCTGTTCTTTCTCCAAATCCTTCAGCCATTCATTTAGAGATTATTGCATTAGCTTACTTCTACAGGGAGTTAATTTTATCCATGTTCCTCCCCAAGATAACATAGGTTACAGGAGGGAACTAATATTCAGAGTCCATTGACCAAAACTCTCTTCTTGGAGTCCTGAGAAGGGACACTGCCAATATTTATGTTAACTCGTTTTCCTTATTTCATATACACACCAGCTGCCTTGACCAATTGAATGTTTTTGCACATCCAGTCAAAGAATCGGTTTGAGTGTGAGCATTTGCTTGTTTGGGAGTCATTTTTTCCGTGTAAAGTGATTTTAAGTTCAGCTCCCAGAGGGCTGGTCAGTTCCCATATCTCAGAGGGCCTCTCACATGTAGACCCTGTATTAATAAAGCTGCATTCAAATTGTTAGTGATGACATTTGCCAGGCTTGGTGATCCAGGGTTTTTTTGTCCTCTCAATTCAAATGTATCCTTTGAATTTAATCTCTGATAGAACCAACAGTACAACTTCTACTAACTATAGCCTTTATCTTTGATAAGCATTATTTTTTATCCTCTTCCCAAATACCAACCAGACCACGTTACTGCCCCTGAAAGGCACTTCTGTCTTCTCCTTTGGTTGTTCCTTCTTCTTTCCCACTTGAAGCCTTTCCGTGTTCCTCACTGCCTGTCAAGTTCGATCTATTCGTTAGGGCTTGTCTGAAGTCCCATCTCCTCCAGGAAACCTTTCCTTGACTTTGGCCTTATTCAGTTTCGTGTTTGGTCATGTCCTATACATTCTGCTTTACACAGTTAAGGATTTCATGTTTATGCCTATTTATTTATGAGGTCTTTGATGGCAGGGACTGTGTCTTCCTTCCCCAGTACCACACACAGGCCACTGCTAGCACAAGTGTTTAATTGATACTTACTGAACTGAACTGAATCAGGTCAGATGTCAAGGAGAGTTATGGTAATTTCTTCCTTATCTCAAGATGTTGGCTTGAGTGACCAGAGCAAAACTCACCTTAGGAGGTTCCAAATAAGTTAGTTACCACACAATCTCAAGAAAAGATTCTGTTTCCTTTTTTGAAGTCAGAAGAAACCTTACCTTTTCCACTTGAGAACCGAAGTAGGAACTTGATTAATGTTTCTGCTTATCTTCAACAGGCTGCACATTAAATGGCCAAGAGGTAAGACTCACTGTCCACTATGAAAATGGGTTCATCATCTCCAGGGAAAATGGAGCTCCTGGCAGCGTGCTGTACCGCTACCCCTTTGAACGACTGAAGATGTCTGCTGACGACGGCATCCGGAATCTGTACCTGGACTTCGGTGGTCCCGAGGGGGAGCTGGTAAGAGGGTGTCTGAGAAACATGTTATTTCTGATAGGTATTCTCTGTCTCATTTATTGCTTCTTTCCCTCTTGTATGGAAATACTATGGACTGATACTCCATTTTTTCTGGGAAACTGTTCTTCAGTTTTCAAGATGCAACGGGTTTGGGTTCTTTTATATTCTTTTCCCCATATTAGGAAGTCACTTCCTTTTTAAAAACATTTTGTTTGAATCTTAGAAAAAATAGCCCTTTTAAGAAATAGGCTTTTATAAAAAAATAAGATTAAATTATTAAATACTAAATAAGAAAAAAAATTATAGTAATTGCTGTTAAGCAGTTGTTGGGATAAAAATTAAAAATGATAGAGTGACTTGGTTGCTGCAGAAATCCTGCTAATAAGAAAAAAGATGTGGAGGTATGTCCATACAGCCATCATTTTCTTTTTTACCTCCTTGTCCCTTAAAGGAAATGTCAACGGAAATTCATGATTCCCCTTTAGAGAACTAGAGGAGGGTATCAAATATACTTCAGAAATCATGAATTATGATAAAGGAACAAAATAATGTATTTTCTTCTTTTTATTTTTTATCAATATTGAGCCAATAGTTCAAGTCTTACATGTGAAATCTTATGCCCATCAACATAGTCACAATACATGTGAATTTGAAAACAGAATCTTGATATTTCAGAACTAAAATAGATCTTAGAGATAACGTAGTTCAACCAACAGATGAGAAAACTGACTAGAAATCTTATTTTAAATGATGAACCTTTGGGAGACTAGACTATGGATAGGCCATTGACCAGGGCTTTTCAAAAACCTGAAGCAGCCCTGACCTGTGTGGCTCAATTGGTTGGGCGTTGTCCCACAAAGCGAAAGGTTGCCAGTTCGATTCCTGGTCAGAGCACATGCCTGGGTTGCACGTTCAAAACAACCAATCAACGTTTTTCTCACGCATTGTTACCCTCCTTCTTTCTCCCTCCTTTCCCCTCTCTAAAAACAAATTTAAAAGATTTTTTTTGAAAAAAGCCTGAACCATTAGAGAGAACTAAATGCTCCTGTTAAATAACTTCTATTAATATAAGTTGACAGCAAGCAAAGTATTAGATTATCCCTGGCTATTTATATATTTTTAATCCCTGCTTTATATTTAATATAGACAAAGTTTAATGATGAATTTAGTGCTGTATAACTTACATTCTTCATAAAGTTCTATTTTTCTTTACAAGGCACAATTAAGCTAGGTCCTATCCCTGGTCTCTGGTGTCAGTGCCAGTGACTGGCGAACCACTCGACGCATGCAGCCAGACCCCAGGCCTCCTGCTCTTCCAGTGCTGGGTGTCCAAATTAGAGGCCTGTGCTTAGGAAAGAACAACTAGCCTTCCTTAGTAGCCTCAAGAGTTGTCATTCCACCATAAACTTACATGGGGTGTCAAAAATCCTACCACAGTCACACTTCAGCTGAGCTTCCTGTAGTTCCTGCTCAGTAAATTACAATTAATAGTCCCGCTATAGGATATTCCTTTCTTTTATATCCTCTCCATTTTAGTTCTTCCAGGCATGGCGGAACCCAGTGTACCACCAAGTGGATCCTAACTGTGGATGTGAAACCTCACACTGGTGTTTAATTGTAACGTGTAGTAACCTAACTTCAGAGAACACGTTCTTTTCTGGCTTTCAGTTACCAAGAGTTGCTTTAGCTCTGGCACATTCTTTATCTAATTTCTTTTTAAAAAGTAGATCATCACATCTAAATTTGTTTATTTTGTGTTTTTGTTTTCTAAAGCATCCGTATATGGTACTGATAATGTCCTTTCTCCACAGACCATGGACCTGCACTCTTGTCCGAAGCCGATTGTATTTGTGTTGCACACGTTCTTATCGGCCAAAGTCACACGCATGGGACTGCTTGTGTGAGCAGCAAAAATTCAGAAAAGAGCCTTGAATGTCACAAGAAATATTTCCACCTCCCCAAAAAATTAAAAAGCACAAAAAGAAAGCTCTTTTCTCTATTCTCCAGCACAGTGCCTTGACAAGGACCTGCAAATTACTGCTGACCGGTAACCATGTTTAAAGAAGAGCCTGCCTTTCACAAGCTACCTTGGCCAGAATTTCTAGGACTCTAATAAGCTCCAAGATGAAGCTGTTGATTTATTGTCTAGTTTCCTAATGTGATTTCTAAGTAATTCTGTTCAATTCTCCTGTTAAGGGTGGCTCATTGTTTTTCTTTTTGGGCATAGTCAAATATCTAAGAAGTTGTTTTTCTTTTTTTTTCTTCCTGTAGGATTTATTTCATACTTAGCTTTGGGTGACTCTCTCTTCCCAGGTGCTAGTTTGCAGCAACCCATGCTTCTTGGTCATTCCAGATAGGTTACATATTGTGCTGAAGTTTTGGAGTTTACTGTCCTCACTTGCTTACTCCTTCCACCCTAGGAGGCCCTCGAGTTGCATCACCAAAGCGTCCTCCCGTCTGTCCCGGCTCTCACTACATCCCGCCCTGGCCAGCACGTCCCCCTGCATCACAGGCTTTGCCACTCCTAAGTGCAAACTTTAGGACTTAGAACCTGTGAAATTTGATTTGCCTTGCCTTCCACCCCCTTTCTGCTGGTGACCAAGTTGAAAAGCAAGTTGGAAACCACTGCTTTAAAAGAAAAGTTTTACTAATTTGAGGGTTTTCTGATTTTATCTTTGGTAGGAACCAGGAGATGTGGTAAGATTTATTTTAAAAGAAAATCCTCATTTTAGCCTAAGCCATTTTTTATTGCTTACCAAATGTGCCTTTGGTTAGGGTTAGTGGAGCTTTATTAGTCACTATCTGAATAACTGGATATCACTGCCATTCCAGAGAGATCATCTATTCTCGTTCTGAAGAATAGCCTTTGAGGCAGGTTTCCTTAGTGGTATCTTTCCTAATGGGCAGATATCTTTGAGGAAGATAAGTCCTGGAGAGCAAGCTTGTTTCAAGAGTAGATTTTGTGGGTGAAGTCAGCTTTGCAGCACAAACAAAATATCGGGTTGTTTTGGGCTCTGTGCACGCATGTAGAACCCTGGTCCTGGCTCTGGTCCTCTCACTTTGTGGCAGCAGAGTGGTATGAACAGGCAGCTAACCCAAGGCTCAGTGTGGCCTCGTAATGCACCCTGCAGGGGGGCAGTGTGATGAGACCGTGGAACAGCTACCTGGGTTTTGCTAAAAACAGTAAGGTTGCTGATTTTGTGGTACAGGAGAACATATTCGGCTTACTATTTTTAATTATGAAGCAGGTGTGTATATCTGAAAACATTTAAAATAGTATAACAGCTATATAAAATGTCAAGATTAGCACAGCCCCTAGAACTGAAAGAAAGGTAATATTGACTTTGCTGCCCTCTGTGTTTTCTGAAGAAAAGGCTGGGATTAGTTCTCATTTTCTGGGTGGATCAGGAGTGCCGGAAGAGGGTGTGAGCACTCCAGAGGGCGGAGCTGTTTGGTTTGAGTGCAGACTGACACACAGGCGGGACGTGTGAAAGAGCCGACTCAATGAGCAGAAGGCCCTAGTTAGACATGGTAACCCCATTGTCTTCACAGCTTCCCTGTGTGCAGTGAGATTAACCAGGTGCAGAGGCTGGGGAGGGATGTCTGCTCTGCCCCAGCATCAGTCCCAAAAGTGAATTGTCTGATCCACTTAAAACTGGAAATTAAAATCTAGACTAGAATATGTCCTTCAAGAGCTTTCTATGTTTTGAAAATTCATAAACCCAAGTTTGGTTCCATCTGGAGTAAGTTTACAAGTTAGGGAAGAAGAAAATACCATCAAGGTCCAGCTATGATTTCTGGAAGAAGAATTTGAACGCATAATGCCCTCAGATAAGGGAGCTTAAGACATTCTTTGCAGTGAGTATTAATCTGAGAAGATGAACGATGTAATCATGGACTGGCAGCAAAGCCATTTAGTTGAGGTTTTCTGTGTTAGTGTGAAAGGCTAAGCCACTGAAAAGATTTTCAGGGGAGACTCTGAGCCACCTGCTCAAAAGTTACATGAAGAAGATCTGGGGGGGGAAAGGTGTGTTAAAAATGCGGGCAGGAGAGGTAAGGCATGCGTGCATTTCAAACCCCTTTGCTCTGACTTAACCTGTCATGTATAGCCCCTAGGTCCATAGGGTTTTTAATATTGAATAGGGTTCTGAGTCTTGGTGTGAAATGAAATTGTAGGAGAGGTTTCCTGTGACCACTAGCGCCCCTAAGAGCAGGAGCCTGTAAGCCTGCTTAACACACTTCCTCAGCTTTCCAATCATGGATGGCCGGGTGGTTCTTCCACTAAGTGTGTTTGCGGGGTTTTCAAACCGCAAATGAAGAACTTTTTATGAATGAGGCAGCCTTGATAAATATGTGTGTATTTTTGATCCACTCCACAGTTGGGATCTGCATGTGAGGAGGGCTGACTATATCCATTGCTCTACACCACTTCATACAGAGGACTTGAGCGTCCGTGGAGTTTGGTATCCATGGGTGGTCCTGGAACCAATCCCTTGGGGATACCAAGGAACGATTGTAGTTAAGTTTTGGGGGAGTCAAAAACTAATATGTGGATTTTCGACAGTGTGGGAAATGGGCACCCTAGTCCCCATGTTCTTCAAGGCTCAATTTGTAGTTTGTAATTTAGATGCCAAATACGGCAAGTTATTTTCAAATGATAACTAAAAATTGGCATTTTTGATATTTCACATCTTTTATAGAACAGCTGATTTTTCATTTCTTTTTTATTTTGAATTAGGAAAATTGTTTAGAATGTTGTGGGCTTCCATGTGTAGAATGTAAAGGAATTGCAGAGTAGTGTCCCCTTCATTCCAATGGATCACTTCCTGTGCCCCTGAGGCCTGGGCTTAGATGTCTTCTCCATATTCCACACAGATGCCTGTAAAAGAAAAGGCTCAGTTATTACTTTTCTGAAAAAGGTAAGCCCTTCCCTGAAGTCATCAAATGAACCTTACCTGGAAATTAATATCTGATATTTTATATGAAGAAATGCTTTAATGTATGTTTATACACTATTTATTAGATATTTGTAACTGTAAACTCACCTACCTAGTAGACAGAGTTTCAGGTTAAATACTGGGACATGTACACGCAATCAAAAATATTACTTTAAATGTCATTCACCTATTTTAAAGCCATGTTAGCACTTTTTAGGCTAGGTAAAGTCTGATCATGCCTGTTTTTATCATCTATACTCTCAGAAACCTTGTTATGGAAAATTATTGCATGGCAGGAGAGATTGAATTATTTATTTCTTATATTTTTATAAATGGAAAAACCTCTCTAACCAACAAATGATTAAAGTTGTTACTGATTGTTTTCTTATTCTCCTAAGCAGAATGGTAACAAAGCTTTTTTTCAGCTGATTAAATGCACTTAGCTAATAAACCAAAATTTTTTTCTTAAAGTAGGCTGTGTGGAATCTGGATAAGATTATGCTTCTCCCAGAAAAACAAGTTTTACTATAAGTTGTTTTGATGGACAAAAGTGTGACCACTTTTGAGAAAAGGTTATGATGGATTTTTGTGTGTGTGTATGAGAATCTCCAGGTCTTCTTGTTTAATTTATATGCATGTGGATATATTTGTATGTTTTCAAAAACATGGAAGAATCTCCATATTTTTAATGCAAATTGTCTTGTAAGCTGCTATGCAACTTCTTTTAAAAGCCCTACCTACTTAAAGAGTTAAACATTTTTGAAGCTTTCAGGGAAGACCTGTAGACTTAAGCACTTTCTCTGCTTTTTTGTATCTTATCTTGGACATTTACGCTGAATTATGTTATTGTTTTTACTGGTTATAAGCTATTGATTGTACATAATATTTAAACCATCCAAATATCCAGCAGACATTTCCATGTCGCTGCCATCCACTATTGACACCATGAATGAAATGGCTGGTTAGAAAGCCAAAGGTCATGTTTTTTCAATCCCTACTGAAGAAGTAAAATGCCAGATCTCTTTGGTCTCAAAACATTGTTCTGGTCTGATCTGACTATCTGTGTAAGAAAAGAGACTTATTTAAATTTGGGATGCTTAAACTTTTAAGGTGAAGTTGACCGTAGTCCTATTGGTTATATATCTTTATCAGGTATGTTATGGGGCAGGTGATACTATATTCTACCTTGAGTTTAGAAATTTCTTTCAGTTAAATTTGAGTTGTTATAAGTGGCTCCTGATGATGAAAGCAAAGGATTCTGCCATCTGCTACCATCGTCTCTCTATGTCCCGATTTTAATGGCATGGAAATCTAGAATTATTTTGACTTTCTATATACTGTCTTTAAAAATCAATGACGGCAACCTTCCCCCTTCCTCCTCCCTTTTTAAGCTACATCTTTCACTGTGCTGGGTACATACACACTTGATAGATGTTTGATGATAGACAGTTCTAAAATAATTGTGCTTTATATCAGGATTATGTTTTCTTGAGCAATATGCTATTCCTATAGTGTAATGACATTAAGTGAAATTTATTTTACACTAGTAATAGACAGCTTAAGTGGCTGATTTGAAACCCTTTCTCTAGGAAAACTAAAACATCTGGCAGATAAGTGATAGAAGTTCATCCTATAAAAGGATCGAATTTCAGGTTAGGGTAAGGTACAATAAATAGGCACATACAGCACATCTGTTTCCTTGTCTCTTTGACACTAACTAAACTGCCAACTGGAAGAATGATTGCCATATATTAACTAGAAAAAATATTTTGATAATATTTCTTCTATTGTTTCAAAACTGATAAACTTGAACTTAATCTTTTGCCACTTATTCTTTCCACTTCAGGTGACTGAACCAAAGCATATTCTGGTTTTTAAAGTGAATATACATTTGATATAATGCATAAATATGCTATTTGCAAATGACTACTTATTCTCCCATGAATAACTTGTTATATTCAACAAAAATCTGTAAGAACTGTAACCCATGAACTACCCCAAAATAGACTGGTTGGAACTAAAAGGCTATAGTAGAGAAATTATTGGTGCTTTGTTATACAGGGGTGGACAAAAGTAGGTTTCTCTTTGTTCATATGGAAAATAATACAATCATTAATAAACAATAGTAAAAGAATAAACGCTCTTTTGTGTACTTAGAACTGGAAACCTACATTTGCCTATCCTTGTATTGTGAAGTTGAGTATCCTGATGGGTTTCTAACTTCTGAGTCCTCCAAGTAGCTCACTTGGTTTGGTAGTGATCGTCACCTCTGTGCCATTGACACAAGTGCTTCTTTAATTTTGGCATCCCACTTTATCCCAGTCACATACACACCACGACCCTGATTGTTCTGTCACCTCTTTCAAAGTGATAGAAGTCTCTTAAGAACAGACAAAAAAGGTTCTCTGGAGGCTTGGAGAAATTTTGAAATTGCAGGACTAATTAACGATGTATTAATTTCTGTAGTCTTTCATCTAATGAGCATTTACAGTTTTCACAGGCACTCTGAAGGGTCCAAAAGAAAGTTCCTGGCCTCAAGTAGCACGTAGCCCAATACTTTTCAATCACGCCATGCCATCTGTCAGTCCGAGGTTAAGTAAATAACCACTTCACATTTTTACCAAAGTACATCTGAAGTTCTGCACATTTGGCAAAATGGATGGTCTGCCAGACTGAAAGGATGCCCATTCTTTGGTCATGCCAACAGGAAAGAATTCCAAGCACATTTAAGTAGGCTGGTCTTTTCATCAGGCATAATTTTTTTTTAATGCAAAATGAAGATTTTAGTTTGGGAAGAACACTGCAGAATATCCATAGAAGTTGAATTACAGTAACAATTTTCTATTGTCCAAAGTGGATCAGTGGGAAGTTTTTAAAGAAATGCTTCTTTTAATTATAAAGAGCAAAACTAAATGTATATTTTCATCTACCCGCCCCCATTTGTAAATTGTGCTGACCCATTCATTTTCATACTTACACCCTTTAAAGATCTCATTTGCTGTAAGTCCTTACACATGGTAGATGGAGTATTTCTTCTTATCGAGAGACCAAAATGGAGATATTTAAAACTTAGTAAAATCCCACTTTTTCCAGACTCTCTGGCATTCGAACTCAGTAAAAAGAGCACTTAAAGAAAATGAGAGATTGTGTGAATGTGTCCATAATTTTCATACAGTAACGGCCCTTTTCTCTCCAGCTGCTTTTCTTTTATCACTAGGGTCAGCCTTTCAGGTAACACCCTTCATCTGGCTCAGAAAGGGCCTGGGCCGAGTGATTGGCATGGCACAGGGAGACACTCTCATGGGTACCTTCCCCTTTGTTTTCACGTGTCCTTGAGTTGTGCACACAAATAAGGTCATGCCTCCAGTGTCTTTGTCTTTCCTTTAAACCTACCCTTTGACAATCAGGTGCTAACGATTACATATTATTGGAACCAGCACATAAGTATTGTCATTAAGTGTCTATTCCTAGGTTGGAAGAAGTGCTTTTCTTCTATCTCAGTTCTGTTCAAGTGGGTGTGGGTTGTATTTTTTTCATCTCTGTTTTGTCAATCAATAGCAACTGGGGGAGAGGAAATTATTAAAACTAAGTTTGGGTTTCGCACGGTTCTCAAGCTTGATGATACTCTCCATAACTTAGAGTGAATCTGCCCTTACCGTAAGATCCAGTTTCATTTTTTGCTTTTCTCCAGTATAGGACTCCAGTGTTATGTTTACAATCCGTTGGATGGGTTCAGTGTGATAAGACCTTGATACCCAAAGAATTGTTTCTCTTTTGGTATCAGACTCAAGGTCTTTTAGAAGAAACCACTACCTGTGAAGACCTATTTTGGCTAATCTGTGCAAACTCTGATTATACCCATTTGTTTGTATTTTGTCCCACACAACTTTGATTTTTGTTAAGTATTAAGACTTAGAAAGCTAGAATAATACTTCTACAAAGAATTACAAGTATGTGATATTCTGGGGGTGTTTTTTTTTTTCTTTGTAGAACCCTGTATTTAAACGAGACTTCTTTTTAAGTGTTGTTTAAAATTTAAGTTTCAAATCTGGCATCACCAGACTACCAAATCAAAACCTATGGCATAAAACAGGGCAGTATTTGTGTTCTTGATTTTAAAAAGGAGAAAGCTTTATGTATGTGTGCTCTATAAATACAAATGCATAGACAACACTTTCCCTTGAGTTGGCGTCAACGTATAGCATTGTATATTACAATGAAAGTTTGTAACTTAAGGGTATTATATATATACATAAATATATACCTTTGTAATCTTTATACTGTAAATTAAAAAAATTGCTTTTAGACTTGTATTTTTTTTCATTTTTTTAATGTTAAAATAATCCCAAACCTACAGGAAAGTTTTAAGAACAATGCAAAGAACTCCTACATCCCCTTTACCCAAAATCCCAGCTATTAACATTTTACCACATTGGCCCCATTTTTTTTTTTTTCCCCTGATATGATGCTCTGTCAGCCTTAAATTCTCTAGCATGTGCCTCCCAAACACAAGGAGACTCTCCTGTGTGGCCACCACACAGCCCTCCCAGGGAGGAAACCAACATTGTACAAGGCATTGTACCACCCGTCCACAGGCCCCATTCATGTGGTACCAGTCGTCCCAACAGTGTTTTCCTTTCTTGCACAAGACCCTATCCAGTACCACATGTGTTTGGTTGTCATGTCTCAGTCTCTTCTAGTGCTATTTTTAAGCAGATTTAGGGTAAATTCAAACCCTTAAAAGCTTAGTTTTGATTCCCGTTCACCTGTGTGATGAGAGCTTAATCATAAGCTCTGAGCTTTACCATAATTGGAGTCACACAGAGGAGTGAGAGGGGACATGGTTTCTCAGGAATCGTATTAGGAACCATCAGTGCTCCATTTACTTGAGAGTCTGTCACTCACTCTGTGTGATCTCTTAGCATAATTTTGCCCTAGCCCTACCTCTCCAAGGTGTTACTCACCTAAACCTGGTTTTTGCTTTTCACACTGCTCTTGGCCCCACCCAAGGTGTTCCTTACCAAATTATTAGGAGCCCATTCCTTGGCACGAGCCCTAGAATGCCGGAGTTTGTAGAGTGTGATTTTACTATGTTGTATTGGCTAAGCAGAGTTGCTTCACTGGCCCAAGCCTGGGTTAACAACAAGTGCCACCTTCTCAGCATCAGAATCCAGTCTAGAAAAGCGCTGTGCAGGAAAGAGAAAATGGAACGGTGCATTTGCAAGTCAACGACACTCTACCTAAAGTGTAGGAGCTGAGAATCTGGTTTCAGCTCTCCTGAGAAAGTTAGACCTTTTAAGATACTGATCTGATTCAGAATCATCAAGCCTAAACATGCCCCATGTGCCAGCCCACAAAACTTAAATTTTGTGTCTTTATGCCCCCTTTCCTTCCTCAACTTACTCCCCCATCCCCACCAATAGCGCCACCTCTGCGGAACTGAGAGGTTCTCAGAGTCTGTTTTCAAGCTTTCCAAGGAGAAAGTCAACAATGACTAAGTGAGAGGGGAGGAGATCCCAATTCCTGTCAGCAGCAGCCACAGCTGAGGACAGAGGTTATTCTAGAAGGGGGAGCTTCCTCTGGGAAGCTCTACCTCATAAGCAGGACCAGTGTCTGGAGGGCAGGCTTGTGAAAGACAGAAGCTAAGCAAGAGGTCCAAAAAAGCTGAGGAGGCAGGAGATGCATACCGCCAGGGGATTACAAACCCAGCACTCGTTAGGGGCTAAACTGTGTGCTGCCAAAATTCGTACGTTGAGCCCTACCTCCCAGCACCTCAGAATGTGACTGTATTTGGAGACAGAGACTTTAAAGAAGTGATTCAGTTGAAATGAGTCCATTACGATGGGCTCTAATCCAATCTGACGGGTGTCCTTATAAGAAGAGGAAATTTGGACACAGATATCAACTGGGGCGTGTGCACACAGAGCAGAGATCCTGTGAGGACACAGCAAAAGCATGGCCTTGTGCAAGCCAGGGCAAGAGGCCTCAGGAGACCATCACTAACACCTTGATCTTGGACTTCCAGTCTCCAGAACTGTGAGAAAATACAATTCTATTGTTTAAATCAACCTTGCTTGTAGTGTTTTGTTATGGCAACCCTAGCAAACTAATATAGCCCTCTTCTAATTTTTTAATTTTAATTCCATCTTTCAACTTCCACAGCCCACCTAATATGTGGGGTTAATATGTTCTCAGGTTCTCTGCCTCACTCTCATCCAGCAGGTAGAGTCCCTCTCTTTCATTTGCTCATTTATTAATTCCGAATAAGTTAATTATTAATTCTCCCAGCAGATATTGAGTGTGCCAGGCCCCTGCAGAAGACCCTGCCCTGCCCCCTCCGTGATACAAAAGGACAGTGACTCTGCCAGGTGCCATAAAAGCAAACAAAAGCTTCCCCACTCAGCTCTGTCAGTATCTAAAAGAGCAGAGTGTTCAGGGTAGAAGCTGAGAAGCCACGACTTACAGGGCATGCGCCTCCCCATCTCGCCGGACTCACCGGAGGCCTTGTCCTGCCACTCCTGCCATTATCCTGACTTAGTCCACAGGGACGCTCAGCCTTGGCCTTTTGGTTCTTGACCTCCGCATGTGCGACAATGGCCCCATCACTTCATCTCGTCATCTTCCTGCTCCCACGGTCACCCCCTGGGCCGCATTTTTGCTGAAACAGCCATTTCTGAAATTAGTATGTGAAGTATCCCTGTCCAGCGTGTTCTCGCTGTGACTATCCTTCGACCTCTGGGTCCTCAGTTGGTACACCGACTCTTCCCTCCTCCCTGTGCACTTCCAACCTTACCTGGCTCCGATTCCACACTCGCCAAACCTGTGGATCTCCCTTGCTGCACAGTCTCCCTAGCAGGCACCTGGATGAATTCTGCCATCTCCCTGCACCTAAATAGCTGAGTATCGGGAAGAAAAATCCAAGGCAAATTCGTACCTCTATACATTTGCAGAGGTTGCCAATCTTAACCAGTTTTGCCCTTAACACTGCTCACTTTTGGTTCACTTTAAATTTCAAACCATCTTTACTCTCCTCAAACCCCAGCCTCCCACATTCTCTCTCAGCATATTTTCTTTCCTTCCAATTCATGGAGAAAATACAAGCCACCGAAGGTACTCACCCAACTTCCTGTTACCCTCTGGCCGACATAGGTAGCCATCTATTTACTTCTACTACAATGTCTAAAGCCAGTCCTACCTATGCATTGATCCCATTCCCATTGATCTTTACTAGATCCTTGCTATTGGTTTTTCAAACATGCTCAACTCTTCTCACATTAACAACCATCAAAAACTCCTCCCTGGGCCCCACAATTCCTGCAGCTATTGCTCTGGGCCTCCCTTTCTTTTCTCCAGTCTTCTTGAAAGAGTTGTGCCTCCTCATGGACTATAGTGCCTCATGATCTACTCACTTCCAACCCTCTGCAGTATGGCTTCTGCCTCCATCACTTACTGAAATATCTCTGGCTGAGGTCATCGGTATCTTACATATATATCACCGTCTGCCTTCGCAGCTGCATTAGGTACTGTGTCCCCCTGCATCCCTCCCGTGCCCCTCTCTTGAATTCCAAGACACTGTTGTGGCTGTCCTACCTCTCCAGCTGTCTTTCTGAGCCTCCTTTGCAGGTTCATCCTCCTCTGGTTGGCCAAACAAAACTCCAAGTTCTGTCCTAGGCTCTCTTCTCTCGCCCCACTCTATACTCGACCCCTCCCTAGGAGATTTTATTCACACAGCTTCCATTCCCACCTATACCCAGGTGTCTCACAGATGTGCATCTCCCGCCCTCATCTTTATTCTGACTTCCATATGCACATATCTGACACTTGATATTTCAAATGCATCTCAAACTCTTCACCCCTCCACCCCCTGCCCCCCACACCTGGTCTTTGTCCCATACTCCGCATCTCAGTAGCACCACTGTTGGTCCAGGTGCTAAAGCCAGCAACCCAGGAGTCATCTCTGTCCCCTCCTGCCCCTCACCATACCCCATATACAATCCACTCTTGAGCGCTTATGATATGTCTTCCAAAACTTCCCCATTCTGTGTATGTCTCTCCAAGCCCCACCCCCCACCCCACGTAGTCTAAGCTTCCCTTACTCTTCTGGACCACAGCAATAGCTTCATATAAAATAGCCACCCCACGCCTGCAATCGGTTATGTATACAAGGGCTAGAGTCATCTATCAAAAAAAAAAAAGTTTCTCATTGTTCTTAGGATAAAACCCAAAATCTTGACCATAGTCAAACGTCCTGGCCCCTGCCCAACTCCCCAACATCGCTTCACATCAGGCTCTGACTTACTACTTTCTGCTCTCTGGCTGTCTCAGCCTTCTTCTAGTTTCTTAAATTCCACCAGTGGCCTCCTCAGGGACTCAGGGTCTTTGCACAGGCTGTTCCATCAACCCGGAATGTTCTTCCCCACCCCCTTCATCCCTTCATTAACGGGAGCCTTTCCTGACCCCCTATCTTGGGCAGCTTGCTGTTAGAAGCCCGCATGGTACACGGGTCTTCACACACAGGCATATTACATAGTTTTTCCTGATGTACATCATCTTTCTCCTTAGACTGCAGGTTCCCTTAGAGCTGTTTTGATCATTGCTGTAACCCCAGAAACTACACAGAGCTCCACCATAGTCTGTATTGACTAAATGTCGTTAAATGAATAAATGTGAATAACCAACCTGCCATACTGAAGTACACTGGGATAAAGCCCTTAGTATAAAGGTTTAAGGAAACCACTTTTTTCTAAAGAGGAAAGTAGAAGCGTTAATTCTAAAAACAACAAAAACTACCACCACCAACAAAAAGACCTTTAGACAGGGCCATGGGAATCATAAATTACGAGTGACTGATAATACTGTGGAGTACACTGTTTATATTAGCTAGCTCATCCATTACCCTCAAAAGCTACAAAAAATAGATACTGATTATTAGTATACCCATTGAACATCAGGAACACAAAGCTTAGGGAACTGAGGTTTACTGTGCCAGTACAACTACACTACAGGCGCTGTTTTATTCGAAGTGGGGTCTGGTACTTGAGGTTCTACCTAGCCCAGCCTCTGGCCTCGCCCCCTGTCGCGTTCCACCCCCAGGTGCACCCCAGCCCTTGCAGAGTTCGCGGGTCCGCCCCGGCCCACCCCGGCGCGCCCCCGCCGCATTCTTGCTTGGGCCGCGGCTGGCCGCGGAGAGCGGTGCCTGCAGTGCCGGCCGTGGCCGCCGGGGGCAGCCGCACTGCTCAGGCCCGACCGCTCTGGGCCGTGCTCCTCTCTCGTTCTCGGACGCGGCTCCGGCTGCCAGCAGCCACCCATCCGCGCTCCGGACCCAGTACCTCGGCTCTCGGAGGCCGGACCGAGGCCGCAAGCAGCGCCGCGGGGTGTGAGGCGGACCCGGGAGATGAAATGACAACGTCAACCCTCCAGGTACCTCGGAGCCGCCCGGCAGGCTTGCGGAGGCCGCAGGAGGCGCGGCGGGGCCTGCGCGCCGGCTGCCGGGGCGGGCGCGGGGCCTCCTCGAAGCCCCGCCGCCCTGTGGCCGCCTGCGCTGGTTTCTATGTTCACGCTGTCGGAACCGAGGGCCTCCTCCCGTCCAGACCGCCCGGCCCTCCTGGCCTGGCCGAACCCCGAGGCCGCTACATGCAGCTGGTGCCCGGGTCCCGCCGTGGGGCTCAGCTGCACCCGGGCCTCACAGGTGCCGCCCGGGCAGCTCCGGCCCCGCGGTCCGGCAGCTCGCTCTCCCTCCTCCTCCTCCTCCTACTTCCCTTCCAGCAAGCCCCTGCTTCTTCCCGGGTCTCCGATTTCCTTTCCTGGGCCAACGACCCTTCATTCATTCCCTAGATTGTGCAGGGTGGTGCTGGGGTGGCGCCACCTGGATGCGTGACTGACCCAGGTGCTGTCAGTCCAGCTGGGCCGGAAAACATAAACATGGGCCGGACTCAGACCTGGGTTTGAATGTTGACTCTGCCACTCACACTAGTATGTGACCTTGGGCACGTTACTCTAGTTAGGTTAGTTACGTGATCCTGGAGTCTGAAGTAGGGTTGTTGTGACAGTGACTCTAGTTCCGGTAAAGCGTTTTTAACATGGTGTCATCTACATAGTAAGTGCTCAGTTAAGTGATGACAGCCAACAAGAGCTTGCAAGAGTTGGACAAGACTTCGTGGGAGAAGCATTTGGCGGGGTCATCAAAGGATGGGTAGCATTCAGAATCCTGGACGTGGAGGAGAGATGGCTGCTTCAGGTGGAGGAAAAAGCAGGAACAGTGGGTAAACTTCCACCTGCAGGCGCCACCTGCCTAGTTTTTGTATGGCCTGTGAGCTAATTTTTTTTTTACATTTTTTTTTTTAAAACAGCGTTATTAAGATGTAACTCACACAACATACTCTTCACCCATTTAAAGTGTACAATTCGATGCTTTTAGTATATTCACAGCGTTCTGCAACCATTGCCTCAATCACTTTTAGAGGATTTTCATCACCCCCAAAAGAAACCCTGTATCCCATAGCTGTCACCCCCCAATTCCTCTGTCCTTCCCAGCCCCTAGCAACCACCAGTCTACTTTCTGTCCCTATGGATTTGCCTATTCTGGGCATTCTATATAAATGGAAAGTATACAATATGAAGTCCTTTTGACCTGCTTCTTTCATGTAACATATGTTGTGGGCTTTCACATTTTTAAAAGGCTGAAATGATACATGAAAATCATGAAATTCAAATTTCACTGTCTATAAATAAAGTTTTAGTGGAACACATCCCTGCCCATTTGTTTAAGTATTGTCTGTGGCTGCTGTGGGGCTACCAAGGCAGGGTTGAGTCGTTGCTACAGAGATTGTATGGCCAGGAAAGTCTAAAATATTTGCTGTCTGGTCATTTACAGAAAATTTGCCAGCTCCTCTGTTAGTACATTTTCACAGCCCTTTTCTTTCATCCTCATCTTTTGCAGTACCTGCTACTACAGGTGTGGCAGGGCTGGCAGTTTTGTCACCTTACTTTCCTGTTATGCAAAACTGTTCCTCTCCAAATTGCAGCTGAGGCCTCTTGCACATGAAAAACTGTATGTGGTTGGCAGATAAGTCTTAAGTGCATTCTTTAATACAGTATCAAGAAGGCAGAAAGAGATGGGCCTGCTCTGCCACACGAGGGACAGAGCGTACCTGGAAAATTGTTCTGATCCCCATCTTTCAAAAGGACAAACCTAAGCAAGAAGATGTATAGAGCAAAAAAGTCCAAGGAGCTTGGAGTATTTGTTCTGGACAAGAAAACCACTGGGAACAGAAACATCCCTTTCATGTCCTACCTGAAGGGCTGTCGTGGGGGAGAGAGTGACAAGTGAAGCCTACGTTTAAGCTAATCCATTCAGAAGGTTCAGGGCTCCTAGCCATTCTCTATTTGTAGATAGTGGAGGGAGCTGAAGCTTGAACATAGTAGCCTGCACTCTTTCACCTTTCCTCATCTCTTCAACTGGTGAGTTAACGTCAACTTAGCCTGACCTACCCTGTTAGTTTTGTACAGCTATCTGTGTCTTTCTTTGAGACTTCTTGCTTTCAGATGAGGAAGGGCTGCGCAAATGCCTGGGCCCTGCCAAGAGCTGATCAGGAGGTTTATTGTTTGCTGCGGAGGGAACTGTGTGCGTAGCAGTGGGATCTGGCCGCCTGGTGTCTAGTGCTGTATCAGCCTGAGGATGATAATTCTGGGAATGCCCCCTGGGTGGGTGAAGAAGTGGTTTCTAAAACTGGATATGTAAGTGTAGGGCAGCCTGAAAGATCCGGCATGCTTCAAGTTCAGTCTAGAGCACAGGCGACAGGATTTATGAGATGTGCAAAGACACTCTCCCAGAGTTCTTAGAAGGTTCCAGAGGCCTGTTCCTTTCAATTGGCAGCACATATATGCCTGTGGGGTAAGCCAGCACTTTTAGTACTAGAGATGTTGGTGTATTGACCCATGTGTCTAAGTAGCTTTTCCCTGGGGATTGACTTGACAAACTGTCTTCTCTTTTCAGCCTAGACAAGCAGGTTGGGCCAGTAGGTCCTTTTAAGTCCATCTCATAAAATTCAGGTCAATGAAAGACTTTCTAGCTGGCTTGCTCTTCTCTGGCCCTTGAGGTCAAGTGCTGTTTCTGGCCTCCCTGCTGAACAACACAGGAGTCAATTGGTTCTAGTGTTTCCCGTGTTCCAGGCTCTGAGTCAGGGTCCACTTCTCTTTCCCTTGAGGCACCGAATAGAAACTGGACTTTCCCTGTGAGTTGTAACCTGAGCTATTTCATCAGCCTTCCACTTCCTGAAATCCAGAGTGAGGACTAAGGAGGAGGTTGCTTTCATTGTGTTGAGCGCGGTGTGAAGAGGGATGGCTATCTTTTAAAACATCCTTTTAAGGCCTTTCCAGTTGATGTTGGAAAAGTAGGCCAACATAATGTTCTGCGACTGACTAATTCCCAGGCCTGGCAATAGCTCTCATCAGTATATTCCTCCTGCCAGGTACCCTAAGCGCTTCTGGGATTCCTTGGGAAGCACTAAGCGGTTTGCTTTGCCTTCCAGAAAGCCATTGATCTGGTGACAAAAGCCACAGAAGAGGATAAAGCCAAGAATTACGAGGAGGCGCTCCGGCTCTACCAGCATGCTGTGGAGTATTTCCTACATGCTATCAAATGTGAGTCACACAGGGGCCCTCCCAGCCACCAAGCCCCCGTGAGAGGAGGGTGGGCCCTGGGGGCTCACAGGGCCTCTCTCTGGTTCTCCGTTTGCAGATGAGGCACACAATGACAAGGCCAAGGAGAGCATTCGAGCCAAGTGCATGCAGTACCTAGACCGGGCAGAGAAGCTAAAGGATTATTTGCGGAACAAGGAGAAGCACGGCAAGAAGCCAGTCAAGGAGAACCAGAGTGAGAGCAAGGGGTGAGTATGAGGAGTGCAGGACCTACCAGGGCCAGAGTCCCCATAAGAATGTGCCCTTTTCCTATGTTGCTGTCATTTCTGGTGCTAATGCAGCCTTGGACTTTCTGTTGGGGAATTCTGTGCACGGCAGCCCACAGCTGCTCTCGTCAAACACTTCACAGAATACTTCTATGTACACTATCTCATTGGATGTGGGACGGGAAGCCAGCGTGGAGGTTACTGGCCTTGGACTCTGCCAGACCCTTCAAGTATAACGTGGCTCTGCTACTTTCTTAGCTGTATGGCCTTTGGACAAGTGCCATGACCCCCCAACCCCAACCCACGTGCGTCCAGGCTCCTCATTGGTAGGAGGAAGAAGATAATGGGACTTCGCTCCTAGTGTTGCTTTAAGGAGCACATGAGATGATGGGGTGAAGCCCTGGGAATCGAGCTTGGTACGCAGTAAGGATTAAATAAAAGTCAGCTGCGGTTGCCATCAGTTATCCTCTTCATCTGACTTACGAGGCGACAGACTCAGAGGGTCAGAGACTGCCAAGGTCACAGAGCTGGAACTTGACGGAGTCTCAACTCACACCTGGGGCCTGTGTTTCGGACTCCAAAGCCAGAGTTCCCTCTGCAGTTTCTCTCCTCACGTCTGTGGTTTGCCTGCTGTAGAGATTCCAGTTATCTGAGCACAAAGGCCAGTGGTGTCCTGGAGATGAGGGGAGGGTCCTGGGCAGGAAGGTCACAGAGTAGGACAGAGGCAGGTGTTGCGTCAGCTGTGCCACCAGCAGTGAGAGGCTCTTCTCCTGGGCACAGAGGATTCCCTGGAGGGAGAGACCCACCAAGAAGGGGCAGGAGGCCAGACATCTCCAGGGGGCTGCAGGGGTTTGGAGAATGGCAGGTCACTTATATCCAGATAGGGATTGGTCTAGGCCGGGGGGAGGGGAACGACAGCAACTGTGTTTCTTTTCCAGGTGCTCCCCTGTAGACCTAAGAAGACTTACCTCTTCTCCAAGTCAGAGCCACTTGCTATCTGGTTTTGAGGCTGTATGAGAGGCCAGTGAGAGCTCCAGTTGCTTGCCTTGCCTGGCTGCTCTTGAAGTCCAGCCAAAGCACATGTCCCTCACCAGGCTATAGAAAGGGCACATGCCACCCTTAATGAAGAAACAAGGATGGGTTATGAGAGTTTCCTAGAGGATGCATGATAGGCCCTGAATGTCCTCGGGGTAACTGTTGGTGGGCCCGTCCCCACTGTTGAGCAGGGAAAGCATCCCTTTACCACCGTGCTGGCAGCCAGAGCCTGGCCTCGCTCTGAGATCCTCCTTACCAACCTCCTCTTGCTCCAGCCTGTCATCTTCTGTCTCCTTTCCCAGCAGTGATAGTGACAGTGAAGGGGATAATCCAGAGAAAAAGAAACTGCAAGAACAACTGATGGGTAAGAAGCTCGAGGCCCATGGCTCCGGGGGGGGCACCTGATGAGGAACCTGGTGGGTTGGGGCTCTGGGTCGAAGGTACTGCCTCCCTCTGTAGGTGTCGTCGTGATGGAGAAGCCCAACATTCGGTGGAATGATGTGGCTGGGCTGGAGGGTGCCAAGGAGACCCTCAAAGAAGCTGTCATATTGCCAATTAAATTCCCACACTTGTTCACAGGTAAGAGTTGAGCCACTGTAAGCCCAGATGTAAAAATATCAGGCTTCTGAGGGAGCAAGCCTGAGGCTCCCACTCAGAAGGTGTCCAGGAGCAGATGGCGACGTGGCTCCTTTCCCCTTCAGGGACGAGGCCTGGCCTTCCTGGGGGCTCCCCCTGGGAAAGGCCCCGGGGCCTGCCCGTTGCAGTCATCTCATCCTCAGCCTCTCTCTGGTGGCAGAAACACCTTGACGACTCGAACTTTGACTTGACCATCCCAGTGGGTAGGCAGGGTCAGGAACCAGTGCCAATGTCACTCTGCAGGGTCACAGGGGTCATGAGCCTGGGGCTAAGACCGAGTTCTGGGCAGGTCATTTCATTCCCTTTCCTCCTTTGCTCTTAGAATCAGTGTGTTGTGGAACTTTTCATTTCTGACTGTATTTACAGTGACCTAGGCCCCTCTGCTTTTTTCTGTCTCCCTTCCCCAGTCAGAAAAAAGCTAACTTGAGCTTATTCTTTCCTGTAGGCAAGCGTACCCCCTGGCGAGGGATATTGCTCTTTGGACCCCCTGGCACAGGGAAATCCTACCTGGCCAAAGCAGTGGCAACAGAGGCCAACAACTCCACCTTCTTCTCTGTGTCCTCCTCAGATTTGATGTCTAAGTGGCTGGGAGAGAGTGAGAAGTAAGTCAGCCTCCAGGCCCTGCTCTGCTCCCATCCCTGGCAGCTGCGGGTGTTCCCGCTTCCCTGCCGGTGGAGTCACCTCCGAGAGGCGCTACTGTTGGATGTCAGGGGGAAGTAGGCAGCAGAGGGGTGTCTTGCTAGCTTACTGGGTGGGGCACTGTCCTGACCAGGACAGCTGAGATTGGAAGGGAACGTGGGAGAGATGAGTCTTCATGAAGAGAAGAGAAAGGCGCTCCCAAAAATTGCGTTATCAGGTGAGGATCCTCTTGGGGACTTAATATAATTAACTTACCCCCCACACCAGCTCCCATTTGGCAGTTTATGAAACAGACTGAGAGGAAAGGAAGTGACTTGTTTTAAATCCAGAGCTAACGAAGGGGGCTGCCAGGACTGAAGCTGGCGGAGGCTTGCCCTTCCTCTTGGTGCAGCGCTGCCAGACAGTTCGTTGCCACTGTTTTTTCTGAAACCCAAGCATGACTAAGAGTCTCAGCCTCCCCGTGGGAAGGGCGACAGAAGTGACTGGGACTCTGGCTGGGCCTGTGTGCGGCTACCCAGGTCCTAGCCCCATTTTTCACTTTCACAGGCTAGTCAAGAACCTGTTTGAGCTGGCCAGGCAGCACAAGCCTTCCATAATCTTCATCGATGAGGTGGATTCCCTCTGCGGATCCCGCAATGAAAACGAGAGCGAGGCTGCCCGAAGGATCAAAACCGAGTTCTTGGTCCAGATGCAGGGTGCATGTTCTTTTTGGGTTTCCTCCCTGGTTCTAGGAGCAATTCTCAGCTCCATCTCCTCAGGCCTTCATTATGGAGAGGTCTCTGCAGCCTTTGCCCGCCCTCTCTGTGCCCCTCCCGAGGCAGGCAGGGCATCAGAGCTCTTTTCTCCAGGGAAGCCAGATAGGCTGCATGGGGCACAGGGACAGCTTCAGCTGAGCACACGAAGCCCCTGAGGTTCCTTCTCGCAGGCTCTGACAGGTCTTGGCTGGTGTTCTGAGCCAGCGTCTGTGTTTCCCTTTGTCTGCAGGGGTCGGGAATAACAACGATGGGACTCTGGTTCTTGGTGCCACAAACATCCCATGGGTGTTGGATTCGGCCATTAGGAGGAGGTGAGTCTCCCCCAGTGGGAGCCAGGGGCGGAGCTCTTTCTCTGGCTGTGGTCAACATGTCACTGGTAGCCAGGGATGCGGCCTGACCTCGTTTTTCTGGAGGCTTCTCCGTGTCTGCATGAGGATCAGAGCCCCGTGTGAAGCTGGCTCTAGAGGGGCTCGCTGTGCCTCTGCATTAAGACCCCTCCTCCATCTGCTCTCAAGTCCAGCCATGTGCTTGGCTCTCTAGGTTTGAAAAGCGGATTTACATCCCGTTGCCGGAGGAGGCTGCCCGTGCCCAGATGTTCCGCCTGCATCTGGGTAGCACTCCCCATAACCTAACGGATGCCAATATCCACGAGCTGGCTCGGAAGACAGAAGGCTACTCAGGTGCAGACATCAGCATCATCGTGCGGGACTCCCTCATGCAGCCCGTTAGGAAAGTGCAGTCAGCAACACACTTCAAAAAGGTGAGTGAGCCAGCAGGGAATTGCTTAGAAAGTGTCACAGGGAAGGGGATACCTGCTTCCTTTGCCAGCTGACACACCTTGGGTCCCCTGGAGAACCAAGGGCAAGTGCGAAGTGAGCCCTTGGGTTCCAGGGGTGGGATTGTAATTGCTCTTTCCTCCTCTGCAGTTCTTTTTGCTTGAATGTGACCGTCTCAGACTGTGAACCTAGAGGGCAGGGCACCATGGCAGTCACTTCTGCCACCCCCGCAGTCAGTGCCGCGTTAATGTGCGTGGTGGGCCCCACTCAGTGTTTGAAAAGTTGTGGGTTCAAAATCACACACTGTAAGGAGGAACTCCACGCAGCAGATCTCTGTCAGGTGCTTGTCAAGAGTCCTGCTATGTGCCTGGTTTCATTCTAGATGCTGGAGAGACATTCGTAACCGACCTCAGCAGACAGAAATATCTGCCCTCCAGGAACCTCCTTTCTAGTAGGGGAGTCAGGCAACAAAACTGACTCATTTCTTGGAGGGCAGTGAGGGAGAGAGCTGGGAAGGGAGGTCTGGCATTTCTGGGGTTTGGAGGGGCAAGGGCAGGTTGCACTCTTAAAGGATAGGCCACTCTGGGTGACAGTCAAGAATTGAAGAAGGTGAGGGAATGAGCCTTTGGCTATTTGGGAGAATGTTGCCAATGGAGATTTCAGTTGGAAAAACATTTTTTACGTTACGAGATTTGAGTTAATTATAAAGCAGAAGATAGCAAGGCATTTGAGGTCACACAATGAAATTCTAGAGGACAGTGGCTGGAATACCATGCTGATCTTGAACCTCTGAAATCAGACTTCAAGCCACTTTGACTACTCAGTCCGAGTTTTGAAGGAGTCCCTCCCTCCTCAGACAATGACCTAGAAAACCCAGGCATTCGTTCACATCCTGCCATTACCTTCTCTGCAGGACCCAGAAATCTGAGCAGTCCTGCCCCTTCCTCCAAAACCAAGGGACAGCCCCTTCAGCCTATCAAATTCCTGCTTGGTTGCAGGTCTGTGGCCCTTCCCGCACCAACCCTAGCATTATGATTGATGACCTCCTGACCCCATGCTCACCAGGGGACCCAGGAGCCATTGAGATGACTTGGATGGATGTCCCTGGTGACAAACTCTTAGAGCCTGTGGTTTGCATGGTAAGTGGCCATCTGGCAGAGAGGACTGCACAGCCCAGAAAATTCGGGGCTTGGGTCCAAGAATAAAAATAAAGTTCTCCCCTTTTCTGTCCTAGGCTGTTGTGGCTCCTCCTAAACGGAGAATGGCTTTTGGGGTTCTGAGTAGCTAGGGATCCTGCTGTTAGACTCAGTTAGGGCCCAGGATGGAGGCCGTAATATTAGAATTTTATTTTCTTCAGCAAAAAGAATAAAGACCAGGTGATGTGACTGCCTTATTCCATGGGGTTAGCTTCTTTTGTGCACAGAAGGAACCGGCAAATGTATGTCAGCACCGTGGGATCTGATAAAGTTGCACAGGCAGCCTCTTACCCGGCCAGTCTTGACCTCTCCTTGTCCTAGTCTTGCCGGTGGTCTGGCCCGTCCTGTAGGGCAGGTGTCTGCCTTTGTGGCTGGTGTGGTGGGCGTGCGGTTAGAAATAGCTTCTCGCGGGAGGTACGAGGTGATGGGAGCTTAGATTCCCTCAGACTGGAAGTAGGCCCCTCTGGAGATGACATGGGCTGCCTCAGGGGGGAGGAGCATCCCCGTCAGAGGAGGCATTCAGGCAGGAGCCAGGCAGCCACAGGAGGCTCTGCATTTGGGGCCGGGCTGACCTCCCAGGCAGGTCTCTTCTTACTACACGGCATGGTTTTGCAACACTGGGAAGGTGAGGGCCTGGAGCCTGGCTCCTCCTTAGCCACATGCTCTTGTCTTTGCAGTCGGACATGCTCCGGTCTTTGGCCACCACTCGGCCCACCGTGAATGCAGAAGACCTCCTGAAAGTGAAAAAATTCTCAGAGGACTTTGGACAGGAGGGTTAAAGGCTTCTTCACTCTGATGACGGTGAAGGTGGGAAGTTGATTGGGGTAAATTCATGCACTCCCCATGTCGGTGGCCAGACAGGGCTCCAGGGCTTGTCCTAAAGTCCCTACAGCGTCCCCTCCGCTGTCTGGCCGCCAGCCAAGGAGCAGGAAGGAAGGGGCTCCCAGCCACAGAGACGCAGAAGTACATTCGGCTGCCAGTGAGATACTGGCTCTTCCTACTTCCTCCTCTTCGTCTTGGATGCTCACCAACTCCTTGTCCTGCCCCCGTTTTTTTTTTTAACTTTTTGTTCCCCTAAATTAATGCTGCTTGGATTTTCATCTTGTTTATAAATAAAGTTAAAATCACCTGGAAGCATCAAGGAGTGGGAGCAGCCCATGCTGTGGGGTTGGTGCAGCGACCTGCAGAGCCCCCATGGCCTGTTTTAGACCCAGTTTGCTCCTTGTGAAGAATGGCTGATGCCCTGGATCCCCAGCCCAAGCTCCGCCTGTAAAGGCCAAGAGTAAAGCCGAGCCATTCACACCCTCCTAGGTTGGCATCCCACGCCCTGTGTCCTCCCTGCAGGAGGAGAGGATGGGCTGTGAGCACAGAGCTGTGTGAATCAGAATGAGTGGAGGCAGTCATGCGGGTTTCACTGCTGCCTTTTCTTCCCTCTGAATGTGAGAACACTGAACCCAGCCACTGGCCCCGGGTCCCTGTCCTGGAAATGGGCTAATAAATCCTTTTCCCTTCTTGAGCCACCTGAGTGATCTCATCTTTGACTCTTGTCTGGGGCTCTTTGAAGGCCATGCTTCCAATAGAAAGACCTGGTTTTCTCTGCTGTCTTCTCTTCAGCAGAGTAGGAAGTAGGAATGTCGCCAACTGCCACTGTTCCTAGGCCTGTCCTCCAGACAGGTTCGCGAGACCTTTCTTTTCCCAGGGCCTTGAAAGCGTGGCTGGGGGTCTTTGAGAGACTTGAGCATTTCTTTCTGTTGTCCAGCCTGCAGATCAGAGTCTTAGATTGGGAGGCCTGTGGGCCAGGTGTGGCCTGCAGCTGTTTGGTTTGCTCTGCTGCCAACACTTAAAAATCAAGAATAGCCCTGGCTGGTGCGGCTCAGTGGATTAAGTGCCATCCTGAGAACCAAGGCGTTGCTGGTTCAATTCTCAGTCAGGGCACATGCCTGGGTTGTGGGCCAGGTCCCCAGTACAGGGTGCTTGAGAGGTGCCCCCTACTGATGTTTCCCTCCTTCTCTCCTTCCCTAACCCTCTCTCTAAAAATAAATGAAATCTTTAAAAAAAAAAAAAAGGATACAGAAATTCAGTGAGGTAATGGTGGGCCTGTATCCACATGAGGCAACCTATCAGCTGCAGCTGAGCAGGGATGGCCCTATTCAGATGGTGACGTGCTGTGCAGTTCGCACATTTGCACTCTGGCCATTTGAATTTGTGACCCCTGATTGTGAGACACCCGTGGCTGCAGCGTCGGCAGCCCAGGAAATGCTGTCTGACGGAGCAGAAGCAGTAGGGGCTGTCTCCCATTGACCACATGCACATGTGAGTGAACACACAGGAGAGGCCTGGCCCTGGGGCCAGCCATTCTCCCCCTTCCAAAACTGGTATCTGCAAAACCCAGTGGTCTCCAACTGCATATGTGGCCAGCTCCTAGATCGTTTTATCTTTGTGCTCTGGTGGTTTTTTTATCTGGTTAGGAGTGTGCTAAATTGAGCCAAGTTTTATTTAGTTTCTTGAAGGCTTAGTGCTCTTCTCCAATGCTCGTGGGTTAGCCCCGCCTTGTTACCTGGAGCACCAGCCTGCCTGACCTCCAGATGACACTTAAGCAGCAACTGTAACTGGAATATTTGCCTCTTGCTCTGGAGTTCCCACATATTTCTTGGTTAGTTATGTGCTGTCAGCCGCCAATTATATATGTAACTGCTGGACTAGAAGCCAGGATGAGACACTGCCCCCTACCTGTACTGCTTCATTTTTAACTAATTGTGTTTAGTTTTATTTTCTTACCTACTTCTAGTTACCTTTACTTCGAAAGGTCCTTGCCTTTTTTTATTTTTAAACTTGCTTTCTCATTTCTACTGCTTGAAGGCCTAGACAAGTCACAGGGCTTTACAGAAACTTTAGCGTTGCTGTGGTTCCTCCTCATAACTCTAGTCACAGCTTTCAGGCACCCACTGAGGCTGAACTAACCTCAGACTGATTCTGCAGCCTCACAGGCTATTAATCATGACTAATACCTGCAGAGGAATTTCCTCCCCTACCTGCTTACCCTGAAATCCACTTCTTCCCTACCAGGAATTCTGTTTTCAACCGTCTGCCTACATTGACTTTCACTGTGGACGTTGATTTCTAACACTGTCATTAGCTCCAGATGCTGATTGTGTGTGGTTTTTGTGGCTAATACATCTTCCTGAGGTGGAAGAGAATTTCTTTATTGGAAATGCAAGCATTTGCCTTTAGGCTGTAGTGTGTCTTAACTAATTGACCAAATCCCTTCTGCTGTGTGGATTTGGTCACGACAGTAAATCTCCCATGGTGTCAGCAACAGAGAGAGCCTCAGGCTTTGTCCAGGGTCCACTCTGACCAATCATTTACGCTTGGGCCACCAGGTCAGGAAGCTGAAGCCAAATGCTAATAAGGACTATTTAACTTTAGAGCATGGTAAGAAAACATCAAAATTTTCTGAGGGCCAACGTGCAGGAGCTTCTGAACATCATGTTCAGAAGTGAATTCTGATTTTCCTAGGAGCCATGTTTTCACTATTGAGAGCTTTCTGGAGACTTCCCCTATGGCCAAGTGTCTAACTTTACCTCAGGGTAGTGTGAGGTGCTGTTCTCCAAAGCATAATGCACAGAGAGCCAGTTCACTTTTGCTTGGCCTCACAGGCCCTCCAGACTTGGATTGTTTAGAGAAAGCCATAGAGAGAGGGTCCTTCCTGGGTTTGTCTAATTAACTGCTGTTTAAAACATGCTTTTTTTCTAAACAACTTATTGGACTTCTTACTACATGGGTACTTGGACTTGGAGGACTTTGGTAAAATACCAACAATGCAAAACTCAATGTAAAAGTGAGGTAAGACAAGTACCTAAAGAAACAAATTCCTTCACCTCTGACAGTATCTTAAGGTTAAACACCAATCAGTCAGCGTGATGCTAATTTATTTTTCCAGAATCAGAACAGTGTCCAGGAAGCATACTTCTTTCTATTCTAACTGTTAACAGGGAGGCTCACTGACTTCCTCTCAACTACTACCCTTCCCCTAACCCTGCTCCATGGCCTCCACCCAAAGAACAAGCCAAGTACCAGCTGCCTAAGAAATCTCAGCAGAAAAATCTTCTCCACGTCTGTTAAAAGTGGAAGGTAAAAGATGGAAACCTAAACTATCTGAACCTGTTAAAATGTCTGGGTACTCATTTATGTTAATATTCTCACTAAACTCTCTCATGGTCTGGGGCCATTCTGTCCTGTGTTTACTATCACACTAGTGTCCAAGGCAAAGAAAGAACCTGTAGGTAAGAAAAGCACAAATCCCTTGTAAAAATCGTTTGGTTAAAAAAAAAAAAAATCACAACCTTAACCTGTGTTTATAAACACAGCTTTCAAATATTTTGTGACTACTTTTATTATCAAATCTTGGCTTTGGGTATAGATGGCACAGGTCTTATGAAGTCATGTCTACTGAGAATGGTTATTCCTCCCCCCTTACCTCCATCCAAACTTACTAGGAAATGGGGAGTTATTTTTCTTCTCAAATTGAAGGCAGTATTTCACAGATCATTTTGGGACAATCATTTTTAACATCTTCCTCCAACTCAATTCGGCAGGCTTCATAAGTCCATTGTTTTCTGTCAGAACCAAGTCAATGCCAAGTAATACAAGCCCAGCTCCAAGCCGAAGTATTTGTGTCCTGATTTTCAGAATCCTCAGATGCAGCAGGAAAGCCTTAGTCATTCACCTCCATCCAGTGGATGTTTGTAAATGTCTTGCTATCCATTTTGTCAATGAACAGGCAGCCCTGCAAGTGGTCCATTTCGTGCTGGATGATGCGTGCTGCCCACCCGCTGGCCTGCCACACCATCTCTTCCCCTCTGGGGTCCAGCCCTGCAAAGGAAGTTACAGTCTGGGTGAGGACATGGTGCACTTGCTCGTTCTCAACCTCCTGGCCCTTTCCTTGCCCCTGGATGTTCCTATTTACAGGAGGCAACATCAGAAGGGAACTCAGGTCTTCCCTAGAAAGAATGTTGCAACTCTGCCTACATTACTGAGTAGTCAACCTGGTTCCCAGCTCTTAACAGTTAGGTTGCTGGGCTTACTATGGAGATGAGATGAGAAATGATCTAATAAGTGCTTCTCTTCTGAACACTCCTCCTGTTTCTAAAGTATTGCTGTTTGTTTTCAATTCCTAACAACAGTATTTCAGTTTGGTACAATATAAAATAAGGAATACCATTGATTTTCTGACCCTCATGGACCAAGTGGCTTGCTCAGGAGGAAAAATCATCCCAACCAGGAAAGAACCACATTCTACAAAACATCCTGGTATGACAGGGAAAGGCTTGTCACCCTGGGCTGGACAAAGCAGGTCCCACTTCTCCCATTCCACCATGACAGATATCGGTGAGGCAGAAGTGTATGTGTGTGATAGACACAGTGAGCAAAGACATACAGCAGAGACCTGGATGTGAGGAAACAGCGGACCCAGGCCACCCTAACTACCCCGACTCTATACGTCCCATTCTAGCCCCCTACTTGAGCTGGCTGTACTCTCACAGGGGCTTCGTTCCCATTCCAAGCTGTCAGTCCCAAGTCCCGTCCATTCCCAGGTCCCGTCCTTTGTTCATACCCGGAAGTTCTGCTGATCAGCCACCAACAAGTCTGTACTTGAATCGGAGCTTTATGGAAACTTTTGTGGGATCAGAGGCAGAAGAGACGCACTCACTGACCAAGCCGCCCCAGGGACCCTGCCATACCGCACCTGAGATCTGCACGGCCTGGAAGCGGGGCACACAGGCCAGGAATCCGGCGACGCTCTCACAGCCCTCGGGAAAAGTAACCGGGCGGCTGTCCAGCACCCGCAGGCTGGGGTTCACAAACACGCGCAGGGGGAAAGGCTCCATCTGGCGGGCCTCGCGCAGGCGCGGCGCGCAGGCGCGGAAGAGAGGCTCGGGGAACTCCAGGGCCAACACCTGCAGCGGCACTCCAAGCTGCGGCGCGCTCAGGCCCACGCAGCGCCGGCGTCGCATCACCTGTATCAGCCGCTGCACCAGCCGCTGCAGCTCGGGCCCCGCCAGCTGTGCCGGCTCTACTGGGGCCGCAACGGCCCGCAGGACCGGGTCCCCGACCTGACACACGCGTGTGTATGGCGGCTTGGGTGCTCCCTGCACCAGACGCCGCAGGTAGCGCCAGTAGGAGCGTGGGCGCGCCGGTCCCTCGGGGCCATCCCCGGCGGGCGTGGAGCTGCAGGCCCGAGCGCCGCCGCCCGCCACCCTCTCCCCACGCGGCGGGGCCGGCCCCACGAGGAGACACGCCCGCGCCAGCAGCGACCCGGCCCCCAGTTGGCCCATAGTGCAGTCGAGTAGAGCCGCCCGGCCGCGTTCCTCTAGGGGCCCCGTAGCCTAGCTTTCCCGTCGCCAGGGATGCCGGGAAGCGTAGTTCCCGCGGCCTTCCCGCCCACAGAACGTTGTCCCCTTCGCCAGGCGACAATCAGATTTATTATTTAATTTTATTTATTGTAAGAAGACTGACCA